CGCTGAGAGCCACTGACCAACGCTGGTTCTCCTCAGCTCCTTGTCACCACTCTGCAGTGCAACAGGACTGGGGTTCCTCTTCATCTCAATGGCTCTTTCTTTTTTTGGGGGGGGGGGAGGCTCATGTCAAGGAATCCCGATCCTCTCTGCTGCTGCTCCAGGGAGAACCAGGCTGCTCTCCAACACGTCTCAACCCAACAAGATTCCAGTTCTCAGAAACGTGCGCTATCTCGGGCTGGTGAATCGTACAGCTGATCCTCGGTGGGTTTTCAAAGGCTGTTAATCATTCACATGGGAGGAGATTGTCCGTCCCTTTTCCTGAGATGTTGTTGGTGGACTCAAACCACCAGAAGCACCACCTCTGAGTTAACAATACAACTCCTCATGGGCACATCACCAGAGCCCCCTACTGCACCAGGGAAGTAAATTTCAGAAGCTCTTCACTAGTACGTAGGGTCGCTAGGATTTGCAAGTGACTCGACGGCACACAACAACAACAACTTCACTAGTATTCTTTTCCACACTTGGACCCAGGAGCAGACAGATGACTTCTCTTGACTAGAAGCTCACAAGGGCCCCTCTAGAGCGGGGTTTCACAACCTCCACGCAACTGGCTTTTTGGTCTGGAAAACTCTGTTATGAATACTTGCCCTGTAGGGATTGTTTACCAGAATTTCAGTTTTCTATCCACTAGATAGATGACAAAAGAGAGTCACCACAGAAGTTGTTGTGTACTGTCGAGTAGGAACTGACCCATAGCTGACCCCTCCAGTGTGTTTCCAGTAAATTGTATGGAAGGAGATTGTGGAAATTGCCCCTCCTTCTCCCTCGGAGCAGGAGGTGGATTTGAACTGTCGGCCTCTAGGACTGCGGCACAGTTTCTTACCACTAGGCCACCAGGGGGATAGAAAGTCTAAAATGTGCAACCTTGACGTACATCTGCTCCACTCTGAGCAGAAAGACAGGATGTCCAGGACCTTGATAAGGAGCCCTGGTGGCACAGCGTGTTATGTGTTGGGCTATTGCCTGAAAGGCTGGTGGTCTGAATCCATCTCTTTTCTGAGAGAGGCTGGGTGGTCTCCTCTTGTAAAATTTACAGCCATGGAACCCAACAAGAGATTTCCCACGACTGGAACTGACTCAACCACACTGGATTCGGTTTTATGGTTTTGATGGTATCGTCACGTATTTAACCAACTCCAGCAACTTCATGACTCAAACTTTTTATGTGGAAAACAGTCCTCTGTTTGTTTAAGCCATTGTTTGTTATTTTTCTTTTGCTTGCCTCCAGAATCATTTCTGTCTGATGTGGGTATATTCTTGGAAGCAGCAGACAGCTGAATTCGTCAAGGCAATCTGATAGTCTCAGCCCTTTAGGAGGAATTCAGTTCATTAACTTTGATTTTACGCCCACTCCTTTTGTTTTGTTCATAATTGATTTTTTTTTTGCTGTTTGGTTTCCCCCCTCCTTTCCTTAATTTTAATGATTAGTTCACATTTCTGCTTATTGCCTCTTTCTTTCTCTGTGAATTATGAGGATCTATTATCTAAAGATGAATAAAATGAAATCATTGACAACTTCAAACTTTCTGCCACCTGTCAGGATGTTGCCTCTTGGTCCAGTTGTGAGCATTTTTGTTTTCATAATCCTGAGATGTAGCGCAAATTCAAGTCTGTAGTCTTTGATCATCTACTGCAAGAACTTCAAGTATTCTTCACTTTCTGCAAGCCAGGTCGTGTTATATGTATACACATGCAGGTAGTTGAGGAATCTTCTTCCAATTCTGATGGATGGCTCTTTGCAGTGTTGCTGACAAGAAGTTCTATCAGGACAATCTTCTCCCGTGTGATTTACTGTCTCCGGAAACCCGCTGGAGGGTCAGCTACGGTTTGGCCTTGACTCAACACTACACATCAACACTCACATATAAGGAAGAGAACAAAGATGGTACTAGCCAAATCTCATCCAATCCTTCCTTCCATCCTTGCATGTACTAGCCATGTCTCATCCCATCCGTCTGTCTGTCCGTCCGTCCATCCGTCCATCCACCCATCCATCCATCCATCCACTAGCCAAGTCTCATCCCATCCTTCCCTCCATTCCTTCATCCATCCATTCTAGTTTTTCAACTTGAATTCATGCATGTACTAGCCAAGTCTCATCTCATCCCATCCCATCCATCTGTGCACTAGGCAGGTCTCCCTCCCTCCCTTTCTCCCTTTCTCCCTTCCTTCCGTCCGTCCGTCCATCCATCCATCCATCCATCCAAACCAACCTAGCTACTACCTACCTACCAATTAATTGTAACTTGTTCTGGTTGTTGTTGTTGTTGTTATGTGCCATCGAGTCATTTGCGACTCATAGTGACCCTATGTACAATAGCCCTAAACCCTGCTCTGTCCTGTGCCAATCACACTGCCTCTGACACACCCATCTTGATTACCCCAGTCATTGAATCAATCCACATCATAGAGGGACTTCCCCTTCTGCTCTGTCCCTCCACCCTCCCAAGCATGATGTCCCTCTCCAAGGACCTGTCCCTCCTTACAACATGTCCAAAGTATGTCAGACGAAGCCCCAGAATCCTTGTCTCCAAGGAGTAGCCTGATTTAACCCTCTCCAGGATGAATCTGTTTGTTCTCCTAGGAGTCCATGGTACATTCAATACTCTTCTCCAGCACCACAGCTCAAAGGCGTCAATTCTCCTTCTATCCTCCCTAATCATTGATCTTTTCTTTATCCTTAAACTTCAAACTTTCAATATGTATCTGGATTTGTGCTTGTAGCCCTCTATGCTAATCCGATTTTAGATTTGGTAATCCCTTCTAATCTGTAGATCCAAACTCTTTTCACATCAGAGACATTTTCTTCTGTTGCTTTTTCTTCTCTTTGGAACTCCTATTATTTGCATGTTAGGCCTTCTTTATGTCTTCCTCCTTGCCTCATAATCATATTTGTGTTATTGGTCTGTTTATAAAAACATTTTCTTCTCCTTGCTTTTCCAGAACATTAATTCAGTTCTCAGCAGTGACAATCTCCTTCACTTTTTTCTCATTTTACTCAATTTTCAGATTTACAATATATTTATCTTTAAAGTTCTAATTGTTGTTCTAAATTAATTTCCTGAATATTGTTTCCTGAGGTGTCTGTTAAAATTCTCTCCTATCCCTTTCTTTAGTTTCACTTGCTGAGGAATCTCACATTCTCGTTTTTCAACTTGAACTTTCTTGGCTATTGAGTTTCCATTTTTCTCCCCACTTGTACAAGGTTGTGTGTTCTGTTAGCTTGTGTATGGTTCAGTCCTTCAGGATCTCCATGCAGAGGCAAACCAAGGACACTGCAAAGCCGCGCAAGGAGTGTTTGTTGTTACAGTCCAGCAGGGCCCAAGCTGACAACCCATGAGGAGCTGAAGAAAGCACCTATATTGTTGGGCAGAATTTCCCCAGGGACAGAAATCAGAATGACAACGAACTCAGCTCACCAGCTACATGTAGGTCTCCAGGTCCTCCTGTGTCAGCACACAGGGATCTAGCATTTCAGCTGCCTGCTTTACCTTATGGAATCAAGTATTTAACATCTTTGTTTTTAAGGATCCAGGAGAAAAAGCATTTTTTCTACTCCTTCTCACTAGGTACCAGTCCTGAGACGACCTTCTCCCCTGAAGAAGTGGAAACCTTCATGCACTTTCCAAGTTCCACCAGCAGGGTGACCTGGTCTTAACCCAAAATAGAATTTAAATGATCAGGGCCACATGCTAAAGCTGTCTCCTTTCCAGAACTCCCTACCTTAGAGCCATATATTCTTCCAAAATAATTCTGTTCATTTTCTAATTACAAAAACAATTTTAGCTTGTTGTTGCTGTTGTTAAGATTGCCTTTGAGTTGAGCACGCCTCATAGCGACCTTATGAAAAGGCCTGAAGCCCCTCTACAATGACTGGCACTTATCAAAGTTTATAGAGTTTCCGGAGGCTTGTTGTTTTGGAAAATTAAAAAACAAGTGCAAATTCTGTACATAACACGACCGCTCTGAGAGTTCTCTTCATATCTTGGCACATGTTCTTCCAGTTTCTTTTCTATAAATGCTGCTGTGCGTGGATGTACAGGGTATGTAGTATATACACATGCCTGAGAAATTGGTCTACTATATTTTACTGTATTTGAAATGAAATGATATGATGTATTCTGACCATTTCCCTTTGCCATAAATATCTATGAGATGTTAATTTTAAAGGTTACAAACTATTTGTACGGCCATTCTATTGAATTAACGCTATTAAGTTTCTTGCAATATTATCATCCATGTTGGATGGTATCTTATAATTAAATCTTTGCACACCATAATTATGTCTGAGAGGAACTGTCTGGTGCAATAAATAGGTATAATTTTAAGGGCTGCTACAGATTCTTTAGGGAGCTCTGGTGGCCTAGTGGTAAGGAGTTGTACTGCCAACCCAAAGAACTGTGGTTCAAATCTACCAACTGCTCCATGGTAGACTGATGGAAGAAAGCTCCAAATGGTGTACACGAACAACAACAATGGATTTGTCAGGGAACTCTTGTGGCATAGAGGTAAAGAGTTGTACTACCAACTCAAAGGCAGATAGTTCGAATCCACCAGCTGTTCTGCAGGAGAAAGACAGGTAATCTCTTCCTGTGTGATTTACAGCCTCAAAAAACCTACTGGAGGATCAGCTATGAGTTAGTTCTGACTCAATGTTCATAATAACAACAGATTTTTTTTAACTCTCTTCCATGAATTCAACCTCTCAAGAGAAAATGTTATAAAAATGTCAAGTAACTTTTAAAGCTCCCACCAAACACACTCTATTTTATTTCCTAAAAGAGATGGTCTTTATACTCTTTTTTTCAAAAGGGTTTGTACATTTTTGGTAATTTCACACCTTGAACTCAATGGCTGTGTACATATGGTTACAGACTCTCACGGGTCATGGCCAAGGATGGGGCAGCTCCACCACGGTACTGAGCCACAGCACTGACCTTCTGAAGCCCGCCGTTCTCCTCCACCAGCGGCGGAAGCACGCCCGGGCTGCTGACCGGCGGGGCCTCCACATTGTAGTCACGGAAGCAACAGAAGAAGGAGCTGAGGATACTGCGACTCCTCTGCTTCTTCAGGCTGACGCTGCACTGAGAGGCTGCGAGGAGAGAAGCAGAGAGCACGGTGGTCATTTGCAGCAAACACTCGCAGCCGTAACACAACGTGCGAACCCGAGCGTGCAGCTGTCCCCCACTCAAAGCCCGATCCCAGGGGGCTTAGCCAGGACCAGAGGATGAGGGGGGCCTCCAAAGTGACTTTAAAGGGTCATTTCCAACATGAGACCCCTGGAGGGCGGCTGGCTGATGGCCTAGGCCCCCTGCTGCCTGGCATTCCTTTGACCTCGGCCCAGCAGGGGGCTGCTTGCTCATTAACTGACCCGTGCTCAGGGTCGGCCAGCACCTGCATTCCTGAGCGCAGCAGACAGGGCCTCCCAGCCCGCATCAACCCTACTTCAAAACAAACATCCTTTGGGGCACAAATCAGACCTGACATTCTTTGGCAGGCATCTTGACACCCAGAGTAGCAGGAAAGAGTCACTCTGACCTGCATGAGGTACTGGGACAATTGCTGCTCACTGTGGAAAGAACTCAGTTCCCACATTAAGATGGGACATCTGTAAGGGCACACACTTCTCTCCTTGCTGTCTAGGCAGAATCAACCCATAGCCCAGCCGCCACTGGATTTTCTGAGGCTTTAAATCACACAGAGGGCACTGAGGGAGGAGTGGCGACTGTCCATTTTTCTCTCCAGGAGCCGCTGGTGGGTTTGAACTGCCAAAGAGGTGTTTTTAGGTTAACAACAGAACTCCCCTCCAGACCACACCACCACAAGGAACTCCTACTAGACTTTGCCATTTACTGAGAAAAGGTTAGAGTCTGGAGCCAGAGAACAGCTCAGAGCTGACAATTTCCATCACACTTATGGTATAAACAGGGAGCTATGGTGGCTGAGTGGTAAGGAGTTGCACTGCCAACCCCAAGGGATTTGGTTTGAATCCACCAGCTGTTCCTGTGCAAAGACAGAAGGGCAATCTCCTCCAGTGCAATTTACTGCCTCTGAAAACCTGCTGGAGGGTCAGCTATGAGTCAGTTCCGACTCGATGATACACAACAACATAAAGCAAACAGCAGGTGATGTGGACTGAGAACTCGTGCTTCCTCCTGAAGGAAGAGGTGGCAGAGTGACAAGCTTATCTTCAGGAGACACAGGGTGATGCCGTGCCCTGCAGTAGTTCCTCAGCCTGTCCTGGACGGAGCCACGGATCCTATGTGTTTCTCCAGGACTCAAGACAAGTTGTCACAAGTCAGAAACAGAAAGCAAAAACCAGTACCTCCTGGGGGGGAGGAGCCGGACGACTCCAGGGAAGGGAGGATTTTGCCTGGGAATGCAGTCAGGGCTGTCCCACCACATTCCACCCCTGGGTGGGACAGCGGAGCTGAGTTAAGGGCACAGGCAAAGGGTCCATGCTCAGTGGATGGAAGCAACAGCCTGGCAGGCTAACCCCTGGGGCTCATCCCTCCCAAAGAGCAACTCTGGCACAATTCCTTTTCTCAGGCAATTATGAGGCATTTGCTAGCACCTTCTCTCCCGAGATTGCAGAACCTTTGCAGAAAGTCTCAGGGTTCTCCTCTGCCATCAGCAAACTGAAAGCACTCAGATGGAAAAACAGAATGGAAAGGCTCTTTTGCCAGACAAAGATGGTCACCAGCCTAGGCGTGGGCAAAGGTTCTGGAAGTATTAAGATCCTCATTCTCAGGGGAGCTCTGGTGGCCTAGTGGCAAGGAGCTGCAACTACAATCCCAGAGGCTCATGGTTCAAATCCACCAGATGCTCTGCCAGGGAAGGAGGGGCAATCTCCTCCAGTACCAGTCAGATCTGATTTGATGGTACACTTACACAAAAATAATAAACTAATTTTTTTTTTTAAAAAAAAGATCCTCATTCACTAATGACACACTTCAGAACCATCAATTCCATTACTGGGAATATACCCCAAAGAGACCATAACCGCCACCCAAGCAGATACATGCACACCCATGTTTATCGTGGCTTTGTTCACAATAGCAAGGAGTTGGAAACAACCTACGTGCCCATCAACAAATGAATGGAGAAGCTGTGTTATATTCACACAATGGAATACTACGCTGCATTGAAAAACAAGGAGCTCATGAAATATTATTCAAAATGGGTGACCCTGGAGGACATGATGCTGAGTGAAATATCTCAGTCACAAAAGTACAAATACTGCAGAGTGCCACTGTTGTAAAATGGGACAGACATTGGGGTCGGGGGAGGGGAGACTGAGAAAGATGAGATAAATTATGTATACTGCATTGAAACAGATAAGGGAGAAAACGGTTTAAAAGGGATATGTGATTAGGTATTATTGTCATGACAGGAGTCCAGACAAAGGCTGCATAGTGGAGTGGACTTGGGGGAGGGATTGTATAAAAATGAAAAGACTTTTTCTTTTACTTTTCAAAGAGAAGAACGAACAGGAGGGGAGGGGTGGGCAGGGAGAAAAGTGCAAATGTGTATGAATGGAAATCCAAAGTCTGTAAATTTTCACTAAAATTAATAATGATAATAATAAACAGGTGGGAAAAGAACCATCAATTTTCTAGGAAAGCCTTCTTGCTTGTTTGTTTTGCTATTTCATAGCGGTGTTGTGGTCTGGGTAAAACTTTACAGAGCAAATCAGCTTTCTATTCAATAATTTGCATATATTTTGCTTCGTGACATTAGTTACAGTCTCCTTAGTGAAACAGCATCACTCCTTTGGGCTCCGTTTCCATTCACCTAGCTGTCTCGCCCCTTCCTACCTTCTGAACTTTGGTTTTGAGCAAATGCTGTCCCTTTGGTTTCCGACTGATGACTAAGTTCTCAGGAGCACCTTTCTCTCGGGTTCCTGCCCATCACTCCAGCCTGCCTCTGCTCTGCCTGAAAGGTGATTTCCCGAGGTGTGTTCAGTTCCAGGTTTGAAAAGTATCTAAGAGTCACAGTTTGAGGACCTCAAGAAGAATGTGGTATCAGGATTGGAAGAAGACTTATCAAGAACCTGTGTTAGGCAGATGACACAATCTTGTCTGAAACGGAAGAGGACTTGAAGCATTTGCTGCAGAAGGTCAAGGACTACATATGGCCCGAAGCCCAACATCAAGAAAACAAAGATTCTCACCAATGGGCCAATTGGCAGCCTCATGATAGGTGGAGAAAAGATTGAGGTTAACAATTTCATCTTGCTTGGATCCATAATTAATTTTGACACCAACAATCGCTTTAGGAAAGTCTGCTGTCAGGGACCTCTCCAGAGAACTAACAAGCAACAGTGTCAGTCTAGAGACTTAAGTACACCTGATCCAAGATATGGTCTTTTCAATTGTTTGCTATGCATCTGAATGCTGGACGATGTCTAAGGATGACAGAAGGGTCAATGTCTTTGAATTATGGTGCAGGAGAAGAGTCTTGAACATACCTTGGGCTGCCAAGAGAACAAACAGGTCTGTCCTGAAGTGAGTGAAACCAGGTTACTCCTTGGAGGCAAGGATTTTGAGGCTCTATCTCAAATACTTTGGGCTTATTGCCAGGAGGGACCAGTCCTTGGAGAAGGACATCATACCTGGAAGGGTGGAGGGACAGCTCAGGAGGGTAAGACCCCAGATGAGATGGATTGACACAGTATCTGGGGTACTGGGAACAAGTGTGTCAGAGATGGTTAGATTCACTCAAGGTAGAACAGGGCTGACTGGGCTACTATGAATTGGAGTCGACTCGACAGCACATAACACCTGGTCTCTCGCAGACTAGTTAAGTCTCATCTTTTTGTGATTTTTAATTTTGTCCCACTTTCTCCCACTCTGCCCAGGACTTGTCTCATTTGGTCTAATCAAGGCGGTGGGTATTGGTAGCCACGCACCTGACAGTTCTGGCCTCAGGCTGGTGGAAGCTGTGGTTCATATGACCCTGTTACTCCTTTGGGATAACTGTTTCCTTGAATCTTAGATTTTCCTAGATCTTCTATGTTCCTGATGGGAAGAACCCAATGATTGTATCTTATACAATCCTCAAGGGGCGTCTGCCCAGGCTTGATCCACCTCAGGTGTGGCAGAAAGACCAACTTCTTTCTCTAACTTAGTCCACACGAGATCTGCCACAGGTTGAAGTATGTCCCCCTAGAAAATGTGTCAGCTTGGGTAGCGCATGATCCTCCCTGGTCTGGAATTATCAGGTGATGCAGTTTGGCAGTTATTTAATGATAGATGCATCCCCCTATCATGTGAGCTGATGTAATTATCCTCTACTTGCAGTTTGCATGGAGTTACACTGCTAACTCAAAGGTCGTAGCTCTCTTGTGGTTCAAATCCACCAGCAGCTCCAAATGAGAAAGACAGGCAGTCTTCATCCACGAGACTTAAGTGACGGAAGTGGGCTTTTTTGGCATTTTGTGATGTGTTGTAAATTCCAGCCTCTCTGCGGTCATGAGGCAGGATTAGGCTCCATTCTGACTCACTCTCTTTGGAGACACAAAGAGACTAAGCAAGTGAACAGAGTGAGGGACCCAACGACCACTGGATAAGAGAAATAAGAGCTAAGAGCAGAGGGTGTTCTTTGGGTGTAGTGTCCCTGCTTTGAGAACTTCCTAGACCCAGGACACAAATGATGCTGCAGGATCTCCAGGGAACGCCAGGCCCACTTGCTGAAAGGAGATAAAAACCTTCCTCCAGAGCAGACACACAGGGAAAGCTGTTCCCCAGAGCTAGCACCTTGAACTTGAACTTCCAGCCTTTCAAACTCTGTGAGAAGAGAGATGCCTGTGAAAGTCATCACGGTGGTATTTTTTGTTACAGCAGCACTAGATGACTCAGGCAGGATCCACGCGCAGGAAGACACATCCATGATCAGCCCAGCAACTGTCCTCCTCTCCAGACAGATTGCTAGGCCATGGGCATGGACACCTCAAGGGTGGGTGAAGAGAGGTCTTGGCAGGGAACATGAGGAGGTCCTGTGACCTGTCTCTGTCCATTACTCTGAGCAGGCTGAGGTAAAGAGCCTGCCTGGGAATGGCTGTGAAGACTGAAGACATCACGAAAGAGCCTC